TATCTATCTATCTATCTATCTATCTATCTATCTATCTATCTATCTATCTATCTATCTATCTATCTATCTATCTATCTATCTATCTATCTAAAATTAATCTAGAGAGTCCCAGTCCAATCTGACCCTTTGGGGAAATGAATTGGCTGCCCTTGTTTTAGAATAGAATAGCCTTTATTGTAGTTGTACATGTACAACGTAATTCAGGGTGCTCCACACCTGTTGTGCATGTTTTTAAAATATAAGTGCATGGACAGCAAGAATAAATACCAGACAAGAGCAATATTTCATGCATTATACTGTCCTCAGTGACCACTGGCCTCTCTTCAGGTAAGTCAAAACTGAGCACTCATGGCCATTGATTTAGTAATTTCTCAGCTCTCGTGACAGATCAATGTTGACATTAAAATATATTAATAAAAATCTTCAACCACTTTTTTTTTTAAATATTTTTTTTTATTTTGGTGTTACAGAGTTAACGTTTAGAAATCTACTACAGGCAGTAGGACAAACACCTGTATCCAGTCAGTGGAACAACAGAGATGAGGTAAAAAGGCTACAAGTTACAAGTCACACAACACCATTTCAAAACATGTATTTCCGCAAATATATACTTTTAATTACTAATATGTACATAGCATAAAATAAATAATTATAAAAAAACATCAGCTTTTAGAAATTCATAAAAACACAAGAACTAGTTTGTACAAAACTTTGGATTTAAAGACTTAACAAAAACAAATTAGAACGAACCAAATTATCCATACAGGCGATCACTCACAGAAAAAGTGTACTGTAACAGCTCTTGTAGTATGAATGCTGGTTGCTGCGTAGTTTGCTAAAAATGATCTAAAATGTGAAACTGGTTATGGCTGTTTTATTGATATTTTCAGTCGTGACGTCATCGAATCCTGGGTGGTTTTGAACTAAACGCCTGAGACGTAGCATTACATTAGCTGTAAACATTAATGAGAAACTCTACACACTCCTCCACAGTGGAGGCAATCAGTGAAACGCACTTTTCATAAACTTTATGTAACTTTCTGTCTCAGCTTTCAGTAGTTTTATATTTTCCACATAAGTAAAAATAATTTTTTATTTTGTATTTCTTCTCAAATTAAGAGAGCACAACGTGTTTCATCTTTGCCCTGATGTTTTAGCATGACTACAAGGTAACAGATGACTAAAATAACATATTAAACTCTATTCTGGTCTATTTGGTTAAACTGTATGCAAAAATTAGTAAAACTTCACATTTTTTTTTAACCCAAACTACTTATAATAGATTTCTTTCACAGAAAGAATCAATACATGCCAAGAATAAACATATTAAACAGACAGACAGACAGACGAGGACAAACTGTGTGTAAGGACCTAAACACGTACACATATTATCGTAGCAGCATTAAAACAAAGGAAGTATTGATAGTTTCAGTGATGCTGCTTGTTGTTTAGTTTGGGAACAAAAAGCCACGGCTGAGGATGATCGCATACACATGTTTTGGTCATCACATTACAGCGACTGCAAATTACACTGCAATATTGAGAGCTTATAAAATACAGCTTTGTCTGCTTTCTTTTTTTGCTTTTCTTAAATTACCATATGTCCTGTGTTTACCAGGGAGTACGCTTCTATTTGATTAAATATCAAAGGAAAGGAATATTATATGTGTATATGGGAATACACCTTTAATAAATAACAGCTTTCCCCACACCGAGTCACGTGGCACATCACTAATACTGTTAAGAATAAGGAGAACATGCTTCATATTCATCAATGGTACTGACTATCACAGCCTCAATTGGTGGATGGGGAGGCTCTTTTCTGGTCTTTGGTCATAACTCTTGATGGGTTTTTTTGATCCAGGTGTTCTCTGGCCTTTCAGGACATGTGCAGACTGCGTGCTATATTCTCGTTTTGCCGATGCTTGTTGGATGTGGCTTCCTTTCTACTCGCGAATAAAATTAGTGGTTTAAAGCAGATATTAACTGGTTAGCTTAAGAGATTGAGAATGTAAACACGTCACAGCAAACAACTACATTCACTCAGGTGCAAGTGCATTCTTACCCAAACATCAGTAACATATAACACTTTGTAAAAGAAACACTCACGCACACAATGATCGTGTTAGTGTTCAAAAATACGTAAAAAAGTAGTCATGTCGAGGAGGAGAAAACATGGTGTTGAGTGTCTGATCATGTGACCTGCTCACAACTCTTGTTACCTTTCACTGCAAAAACAAGCGATGATTAAACATTGAAGGAAACGTTCACTTTCAACGAAATGCCTTTTTTTTAATGTTTTTTTTTTTTGCCTTGCAGATTTGAAAGCTTTGGCAGTGCTGGACTATTCTTGATTAAAAGTAACTACACTGGGAAAAAAAATCACCAATATGGTGTTTGTCAAGTTCTCCTTTCCTACATCAGGACACCTTTTTCATGCTCGGTATGGATATCAACATTATTGCCATCATCACAACTATCCATCCATCAGGGTGATGTCCGTGGACTTTGACACCTACTCAGCTGTTTCAGTTAATTTAGGCAGAGACTCACTCTTTGTAGCATCAAAACAAAAACACGAGGCAGTTGTGTTTTTGTCCGCACACATGTCACAGAGCTTTACAGTCTCTCTGGTCTTGCAGGTGGGAATCTGCATTTGTTCTTCAACCCAGTGAAGTCATTATGTTTTGGTGAGAAAAGACGAAAACCTCTCTATTTGCAGGTGTGCACATCGTACACCCTCACGCACTCTTGACAGCTGACATAGCAGCACCAGTGGAAAATACAGTGACACTTCTCCTTTCTTTTCTCAGTCCTTGTGTTGTGACCTCTGCCGCAGCACAAGAGGTCACATCCGTCTATGCCGTGGGACGTCAGGTTGCAGATGCGATCCCGAGTGCCAAAGGAGCCGGTCTCAGGATTGGGGTCACAGAAATTGGGTGAACTTTCATAATAAACCAGGTCGCGCTCTGTAGGGGGTTTGAAGTAGTTGTACTTGGGTCTCAGGGTCTCCACCCATCCACGGGACTCCTTATGTTTCTCAACCACCATCTCAGAAGCGCTGTCATACTTGTCCTTCATGTAGTCCCCAACAACTCGGAAGTCAGGCTGAGACCACCAGCATGTCTTGACCTCGCAGCTGCCAGAGAGTCCATGGCACTTACACTTCAGAAACATGTTGTCGTTGAGAGACTACAGATTAAAAAAAAATAAAGTTTAGTTAATATAGCTTTTAAAAGCAGAAGAACTGCTACCACAGACACAGCAAAAACACGAATAAGAGAACTAACCATTCTCCCTGCTTCATTGTTATGGCGGTTCATTGCTGAGCGTGCGTCAGGCCGATTCTCTCTTGCATCAGCAAACTCCCGGGACACCATGCTTCCAAACTCCAAATCCTCACTGCAGCCACCCCACTTCCAGCCCTCACCAGGGGGCCCTTTGTGACGTGTATCACATCCACAGATGTTGGCTGAACCCTCGGCGCAGGCACGGGTCACCGCAAACGCCACTCCCGCCGAGGCAATAGCGTGAACAAAAGCTGACTCTCGAGTGGCTGGAAAGACAAAGACAGACAAGGATCACTTGGATAATGTATCTCTTGAGTATTTCCAGAATTAAATTTATATTAAATTTAAATAAAAATTAATAAGAAAGATATAGCTTTAATACATACTATATAATATATACAATGTGTAAATTTAATAAGATGTAACATATGCTGGCAGCAAACATCTTCAACCAAACAAAACAAGAAAGCATCAAACAAACTAAGTAGACCTTTACTCCTGTCTGCTGCTTGTATTTGGGTTGTATCTACTATATCGCAACAGTGTGTGGGTTAATTTAACCAGACATCAATCGTCCTGTCTCTAAATAAGGCCAGCAAGGCCTCTGCGTCTCTGTCTGACATAGCTAACTGATGAGTCAGAGGGATCAGGATCTTCCAGAGAGATGAGAGGAAGAGACGGGCCTGACAGGCCTATAATTAAGAGACTCAATTAAGCTTTTGAAAGGTTAGGAAACAGCCTCACACTGAGGGGACAGCTCATAGACACAATATGGAGATGGGTCTTTAGCGAACAGATATACCATTCCAAAAAGGGAAAGACTTTCCTTCTATCCTTTCCTTGTCAGCTGCTTTAACATGAATCATTAAGACGGAGTGGTTGCTTTGAATATATGTACTTGTATGGTCTTGCAAAAACACAAGCAAAGACAAAGAAAGAGAAGAGACAGGATGAAGTGGAAACTTCAGGAGTAAACATGAACTGAACACACTAAAGGTAAAAAAAAGAGTAAAAGAAATGGTTTAAGATCAATATTGAAATCTTGCACTGTCTGTGTGAGATGTGTTTGAGTATGTGTTTGATAGAAACAGTGCACGTTTCTGTCTGAAGAACAAAAAATGATAAAGAAAGAAAGAAAAGAAAAAAAAGTAAAGGCATATAAAGCTGAGGGGAGAACGAGCTCCTCCCTTACAGCAGGTTCCAACCAGTTCCAGGACTAAAGGGCATTAGAAACAATGATGCAAGAGAAAAGGTCTACTGGCATCCCTCACCACCCATTTCATTACCACTACTGTATACACACAAGGTTACTAATGTTCAAATACATTTGAACTAATGCTCTCCTTCCTCAAATCCCACTTTGTGAATCCAACACGTTTCTTTTTATTTGGTGTTGTTTCATTTTCATGAAAAGTCAAAGTAGCCAAAGACTACGCCATGAAGGAACTGTCTACAGTGATTAATTACACATCACCATGCTTCATCTAAAGCTGACTGAGCATGAGCTTTGTTTTTTCAGTTTGAGTGAATATCTAAGGTGTTTGGCTTACATTACATCTGAAGTGACTTAGAAAACAGATTTAATTTCAAATGCCAAAAAAGGATTTTGGAACTAACATTTGTGTCTGAAAATATCTTTGAACATACTTCTGTGCTACTAAAAAAAAGCGCACAGTCATCAGCATAGATATTCTGTGAACTTGTCATAAAATTATGTGAGGGGAGTGAAATGTTGTGTGAAATAGTCAGTGGAGAAGGATTGAAGCACACGAAAAATATCCTGGCATTTCTGTGTGAAATAATAGATTTCTTATATAGTGTCTACAATTTTTCACAAGCTGCTTTACAAGATCTTCACAAAGCCTGGTGTTATCAAATGAAAATGCATTCAAGAAAATGGAAATATCTCAAAAATTTTGAAGAGCTTTGCTTAAAATTTCCCACATTTGCCCCACCTGCAAGCTTCTGATTCATCAGATTACCTTTTTTGTTGATATTGACTATAAACATACAACACCTTTCACAAAATTGTCTCACATTCTGAATTTAGTTTCGATGGTATGGTATCACGGTTTGTGTGTGGCCCATTTATACACGACAGTAAAAACTCACTGGAAGGTACTAATGAAAACTTAATCAGAACAATAACCCATTTTTTTAAACGCATGTTTTCATTTGGATTTAAATCCACCTCTGACAGCATTCACTGTACCTGGAAACTCCACCTGTGACATTAGCTTCATTGCTTTTCCTTAGTTTTATGACCAATTTGTGGTATTTCTTCTCAGACAATGCTTTTCCACCAAACTTTGCCAGACTCTGGCAGGCCAAGCGGTCCCTACAACCTGCTGGGGGGTTGAATCCCCTATTGTGTTGCCACTGTCACGCTGTGTTAGTCCCACAATAGCCCCAGATATTTTATATGAAATTTGCCCTGGCTAGTGATTAGTGGGGACCAAGTTAAGTCATAGCAACAGAGAACTATGCATTGGCTGGACCCTGCTTGTCGGCAGACAGGGAAATCCCTATTCAAATGGTTTAATAAAACAATCTAAAGGGCGTGTGAATGGGGAAAAGCACTTTTTCTCCTGCTTAATCTCATGGTTGCGAAGATATTGTGCTCTGAGCAGTGCCCAGCAGGGAGTGGGGCTAAGGTCCCCCCATCAACTCCATTTACCACATCCCTTCTTTCTTTCTTGCACAGAGTTAATGATATACTGGTGAGCCAGCTTCCCTCCCCCAGCATGGAGAGACATACGTCTCATGAAATGCAGAGACCTTTTGGCTCATCCTAAATAGTTACTCTTTCTCATCCTCAGGTCATAGGTCACAACCCACATCCCCTGGCCTTTTCCTGGTTAGTTTAGATGGAACCTAATAATTTAGATCAATTTAGGTATCTGTATTTCCTAGGAAACAAAGCATCCTGGCCAGTGCAAACGTGCCCACAGTGAATGAAGACAAGCTAGAACTACAATAGTGTCAAACTTTTCAGTATCGCTAACAAATTACATAATAGGAATTTCCAGTAAACTTCATTATCTTCAAAAAGAAAAATTGACTTCCTGTACGGGTGTTAAGACTTGTGAAACTGTGACTGTCCACTTTTTATAGCAAAGAAACCTAATCCCATCACATGAGTCATAAACTGGAGACTGATTATACCCATATAGCAGTCAGGTTTTCTGTAAATACCAAGAATGCCGAAATAGCTCTGGGATCGGCTCTGCAGACTGAGGAACACCTGTGCAGCTTTCTATTACCTTTCATCACAGGCAGATTCCAGTGGTGCATGTTTTGACACTTTAGTTAATGTAAATTAATGAGCACTGACGCAGACATAGCCTGGAGGCAGGGGTGTGGAGAAAAAAAGAGGTTTAGACCATGTGTAAGGAGAGAACATGATATAAGATATGCCTTTTTCTAAAGTAATAATACTCTTAGATGACTGTTTGTGTGGTCAACTAATGTATGTTCACACTGAGTAAGAGCATTTTTATGTGCATATAATGTAACCCATTAAACTTATCTTCAAAATGCACAACCTGTTCATTTCAATTGATTTTTTAGTTGTAGTTCAACTCCATTTACTACATTGCCTTCTTTTTTGTAAAGGCTTTACTCCTTTAGTCCCTCTTAATCCACTTCTTTAAAACAAACTTCTAATGTTCTCAGTGGAGTTGAAGTGGACACGGGCAGTGATGCACTGAACTGACAGTAACTAAGCCTCTGTAGCAAATAAAGGTGCCTACTCTTCCTTTCAAATCTGGCAACAAAAAGGAAGGAGGAAACTGACTAACAAGAATCTGAATTTCAGACAAACTGACACCAGTGAGGACAATGGCCTGGTTGCATGGACAAACACTAGCATCAATCAAATCCAATGAAATGGAAGCTCTCTCCTACTAAGTCCTATCAAAGGCCTGTGAGCCCCTGAGCTAGTCTCCTCAGCCTTTGACAAAGGCACTTAATCCAGCCACTTTGACCTCTCACATTATTAAGGGCCTGAGTGACCTTAATCCAATCAAAATGATTTACTAGAGCCCAGTAGCCGCCTTCTCTTTCCAGTCAGTACCCCTGCAATTTAGGCCTGGGAGGGGATGCAAAGGGAAAGACGTGGTGGCATTTTGCACCACAATAGCAGTGGGATTGAGAACCCCTATCGTTAGCCACCTACTTCAACTCCAGCCTCCTCTATCAACTGGCTCAAGAGTTTATTAAAAGCAATTGCCCTACGTGACCCCCGGCCCCCTTGTGTTTACATCAGTCTTCCGTAAACTAGATGATGAGTTTGGATCATGACCCTCAGCCACTGGGGCCTGCATGCATTCTTGATTTTAACTCATTTCAGAAATCAGGAAGAAGAATTCAACTATCCAATCAAAGTGTGAATCTGATGTTTTGGGAAACAGTCTCATTTGCTTTCCTGCTGGGAGATGGAATAAAGTAAAAAGATCACACTTATGTCTGCACACTAAATATTGCACTAGCCCCTCATTAATTACTAAGAAATATTTCACTCTTTAACATTTTTATTATGATCAACTGCATTAACTATTAAACATACACATATATCATCTTTCTTTCTTTCTTGGTTTTATGGCTAGTTTTCTGGGCAATGGGGATTTCTCTTGCCTGAGCTCACAATTAGACACATGCCTGAAAATTATCACTGCATAAGCTAAAAATGTATTTTGGAAAACCTCTATGCTTCAGTTCAGTTCATCTCTTGGGTAAAGTACATCAGAAGAAAATACCAGCAATCACAGGGGATCCCCTCCTAAAGAAAACTCCAACAAGACAGAACTCACTCGACTTAGGCTAATCGTGTACATCGTTGCATGCACGCAGACCCCCGAGACTTGTTCAGTCTAAAGTCTATTTAAACAAGGATTTGAATCAGCATAATGAATGATGCATGCTGGGAGTGCAGCTCTTCTAATGCAAATATAAGACAAAGGGAATATAGAATTGTTAATGGGAGAGTTAATCAGCAGAGAGACATAATAAGTCACTTTTATTGCTCTTTTTTTCAGTCGGTTTAAAGAGCTAAATACTTCCAAGAACTTTGCAGAGATTAAGACATTCTCAAATGCATATTCAAAGACAGTGGAGTCATCATAAGCTAATAATACTACTTTACTCTAGTCATCTTTTCCTGTCAAAGAAAGGCATAGTTTGGTTTTCTTTCTGCAAAAAGTGTTGCCTTCTTTTTACTGATAAGTGGAATTTCTTCAAGAAAATATCTTTATAGACTTAAGGACTCTACAAATTGTTGTTTTCGACAGAAAAGTAGCAGGAAAGAAAACTCTGTGTGCCTTGTAACATTACCTTTATCTAACACTGGACCAAAAATGGCCAGACTGTCATTGATCGTGGTGCAGTTCCAGCGTCGGCCTCTGAACTGGTGCTGACACTCCTGGATGCCAATCTTCACCCCCTCAGCCACACTCGGCATGATTTCCACATAGTTCCGGCAGAAACGCAGCTGCTTGGGCACCAGGCCTGGTATGCTGCCACAAAGGATAGGTTGAGTGCCCAGTGATGAGTACTGGTGGCCGACTGCTAGTGACCTACAAGCAGAAAGGAAGTCGTGTTGTCAGTGCATTTGGATAATTATATCTTATCTACCTATCTGTCTGCATCTTTATCTACTGATATAACACCACTCAAGTGGGGGACTAATTTCCCTCCTGGTGCAGTGTAATTTTACGTCTGAGTACGTTTGATTGTGTGTGTTTATCTTTCTGTATCAGATGCTACCATTAGACGTCCATTCTTTATCCCTTCAACTACCCTCTCTGCAGGCACCTGGCCTTTGTGTGTATTGAAATTGCAGCCCTGCAGTCTCAGAAGCAGGCAGTGTTTCTGTTTAAGATGAAAGTCCGTTATGCATCCAGAGGTCTTCATAGACCTTAAGCTGACAACTTGGAAAACTGCACCTTGTTATTAAGTGTCCGCACACTTAACAGGCCTTCAGCTTAGGGTAATAAGAGTGCAAACCCTATGCTGAAACTTCAGAGAGTGTATTAAGAGTAACGCTGAACCTCCCCTCCTTTTTTCTTTTGAGGAAGGTATTCTGGGATACAACAAGTGCAAACTTGGTTCACTGATTACATCTCTCTCTCTCTCTCTCTCTCTCTCTTGCTCTCTCTGTGCCTGTATTGCTTTCTCTTTGTCTTTATTTTCTGTGTCCTCTCAATTAAGACTTTTAGCAGGTAGTAATCACAGATATTGGATATCCATTTTATGAATGACCCATTTTTAAGAAGGACTTAAAAAGACGCTGCAGGGTGCTTGTATGGCCATGTTTTGGAATTTCCACATCGCACAAAAGGCATACTGATTTATGCCATTTTGTTTAAAGTTTTATATACTTTTCTTAGGATTCTAATTAAGGAGTGCAAAAAGTGTGGGAGGCTGATTCGATTTGTCTTTAGCCTAAAAACAGCAAAGCTCTGCCCCTCAATGACTTAAAAAACAGATTTCCAAAGCAAATCAAATATTTACTTCTGGCTTATAATTCTTCTCTTCTACCAATATAAAAGCAGTTAACAGGTTTGAATTTGGATTCTGAACTCTCCATTTAAATACATTTGATTATATATCTATCTATAAAAATTAATAAATTGGCCGCAGCTTGGTGCAGAAGTCAGCCGGGATAAGCTGGATAGAAGCATAGATGGAAAACAGATGGATGAAAATGACATTTTTTCTTTTAATGCATGAATAACTGGCCTGCAGTAATTGTCTTCTATGGTAAATTATCAAATCAGCACTTTGACTCTTTCATAATGGCACAGAACAGCCAAATTATTGAATAGCACAGTTCCTGTTATCTTTGGCAAATACCTTTTGGAGTAGCTACAAAGTAGCTTGCTGGCAATCAAGACAAGCCCTTAATTTACATCAACTGTCTATTAAGGACTGAATGCTGGAAGGAGTGTTCAGTTTGTCATCCCCTGGGCGATGCTGGAGTCATAATGGTTAATGTAGATTCTCTATAAATGCAGCTTAAGAGCAGGTGTGCAGTGTTTTGCTTTGCAGTTAGCTCACTATCTGCTGACCTGTTCACTGCTGTTCAAGGACTAATCGCTGATCAAAACAAGATTACCAAATTCCTGACTTTGGCCCTCGGGCAGGGTTTTTTTTAACCTGAAGAAAAGAAAGAGCCTCACAGTCAAATGACCCCACATGTTGACGGTTTCTGATGGCTTTCATCGTACCAACCTTTAATACCTCAATTAGGTTTTACATTCAAAGGTTGATTTTCAGCTCTCTGTAATTATTAAGGATGTCTGCCAGGTGTCAAAGGTGCTCCTGAGCCATGAACTGACCCAATAAGTTACTCCTGTAATTTCTCCCAAGAAAACATCAAAGCAATGAGTCACATTGGTTTCAACAGAATTTCTTGCCTAATTTCTACAGACTAGACCAGCCTAATTCATCATAAATGAGACAGCCAGTAAGTGAGCAATGGCATGCTTCAGAACATATCGCATTTATCTGCCTTTTGTCTGCTACAAACAACAATACATAAGGCAGTTTCCTACTACAATTGACCTCTTTTTTACTGGTGAAAGTTCATCACCCAAAAAGAACTGGTACAGATGTTCGGGTTAGGAGCAGAGCTCTCTTTTTCTAATGGATATGAAGGGAGTTGTCAGTTGTAGTTCTTTCTCTGTGTCTTCTTGAACCTGCATTCAAATTTTTTTGGCAAGTGTGCATCTCAACAGCAAGTAATCATGAAGGTCAGTGGCAATATCATCTTGGGAAAACCAGCAACAGGGTCCTTGTACTCACACCTATGAGGGTCAGCAGAGGTATTTCTGCCCAGTCACTGTCTTGAACTGTACCCCACAAGCTCAATGTAAGTCAGTGTGCTTAGGCTGCTCGGCTCAAGAGTCTCCATGCCTGTCTCATTGGGGCTGAGTAATCCCTGCCACCTCTGTTCTGTGTTAGGAAATGGCCCGTGAGAGGCGGCGGGGCATGTTTCACCATGGATGATTTATGATTTTTTAAGAAGTTATTGCACAAAAGACTGTGTTGTTGGATACTAATTCCAACAACTATTTTAAAATACCTGCTGTATTATTTAGATTTTAGGTATTTATTGAGTCTTGGCAACTTTAATCTCTTTAATTCTTTCTAAAAAAAAAAAAGAAATCCACTGATTTTCTCCTGCTTTGCAGAGATGTTGCACATGTGATGTTTAGTACAACTAATGAGGAAACACAGGATTCACTCATGCTCTTAAGGCTATTGTTTTCAAAGGAGGACCTTAGTGATGACTGTTACAGATAAATGCTTAAGCAAAATATATATGATGTATATGACTTTTTGCCTCAGTACAAAGTTTCCCCCACTCATCTAAGTTTATCCAGTACAGGTTTAATGCATATTTCAGCAAGCCCAAGCAGGGTGCCTTAGAATTACCACTTTACTTGTGGGCCCTGAGGCCTTGGAGCCGACTTTGACATCAAGAGAATATGTTTGGGAAAAGGAATGTGCGGCAAGCTTTCACCTCCAGGTATTTATCTTCTAAGGTGGGGTGGACCAGTGAAGAAGGTGGTGGGGTGGCGGGTGCAGCCAGGCTATGTCATGGCAGGTCGAGAATAGACAGACATGAACCTGTCTTAGTGCAGAGCCGTATCCCCAAGAACGACTGCGGTGCAGGGGTTGAGAGTGATGCAGCTCCCATGGCTACTTGAAGGCAAGCTTCTGTCAGCAAAACATCGTAAGCTGCTTTTCACAGAAGGTCTAGATCATAGATGGCTGGCATGCTGTTAGCAAACGGAAAGACAATGCAGGCATACTAAGTGCAATCCCAAAGGAACCACGTTATTTGACTTGGGATGAGTTGCCATGAGACAGAAAAATCACTCAAGTAATCTTTCAAGTTAAAAAAAAGTTCAGCATTGTGTCAGGAACGAAAGAACTGAAAAGTGATTTCATGAGTTACTTTTGCACTTAGACATTATTTGTATAGGCGAGGAGTGATGCAGCAAAATTTGCTTCCATTATGTTTACCCCTGTTGTTAGACCCTTATATCACTGGCACCCTCCAAAATCAAACAATCAACACAGAAGTTAGCTCTGGGCTTGCTGCAGGGTTTCAGCTATGACAGAATGGAAAACTGTTCTTCCATTGTGTCATTCATAATAAGCCCCACAAAAAAAGAAGAAAGAAAACTCTTATGAAGGGTGAATTTCAAGGTTTTCCCTGGCTGTGTTTGCCAAAGTACCAAAAAAAAAATGCAAAACTTTATCTCGCACTGGCATCAAATAAATAAAGTAAACCAAACATTAAAAGAAAATTAATAAAAATGTAGTTTGTGAAGCCCCCCACCTCATCTCTCCATCCCGAGGGCCCACTTTTATATCAGGATTTCCTTCCAGCTGAGCATGTAATTAGTTTCTCATCAGTCTTACCACCAGGGGACCCATTAAGAAAAGTAGATTAAGTGTCCTCCAAATATTGAATGATTTATTAGAAATCAGGCAGATATATATATATATATATATCTGCCTGACTTCTAATTTCTAAAAGTGCTTTGATAACAGCTAAGACTGATGGATGAAGCTGAAATATTACAAAAGAGCACAACATACCAAAATACAATTATCCTGTAGTTGTTTTTTTTTTTTTTTTAACTAATTACACTATCATAATTTTAACGCAGCTCTGCTCTGCTTCATTAATGTCAACGTCACGCATTTGGTTCTTTTTGGCATTTACATGGCAGAAAGACTGAAAAAACGAAGTCGGGAGGTAAGTGCAAAAATGACAACACATGGCAACATACAATGACAACATCACCATCACCATGCACACACACATACACACACACACTGGACGCACGAGCACACATAGACACACGCTTGCAAGCACATAAAGTTTGCACCTGCTGCATTCTGGAGATCAAAATTGCTCCCGATTTGCAAAGTTGCACGTTTCATTCATCTCTTGCGTTTACAATTCAGCCCATCCTTTCGCCTGTATACTTTCGGTTTCCATGGGTTACTAAATGTCATTTTAATGACCTGATTAGAAAGTCACACTGTGCGTGTCTTATAATATTATAAAAAGTAACGTTAAAAGATCACCGTCACCACACGCTAAAGCTCTGCAGCTGACAGACAAGCAGTCACAACTATAACAACTCAAAATTACAGGTCATCCACAATCCCCGCGTGTTTTTTAATGTGTCACTATTTGTCCGGGAAATAATGAAAATTAAACTTACCACCAGATAGGATAGCTTGCCATGACATGCGTAAGCCCACAGAGCAACAGGAAACATCCAAGGTATATCATCCTTAAAGTTTCGTAAAACATCTCAAGCAGAATGCCTACATGCGCACTCATCCGCGTAGGGATTTTAACCGAAGTGCTAAGAAAAAAAAAAAGAAAAACAAAAGACGAAAACGAATCTGCACTGGCAATTTTTTATTTCTCTTCTCCAAAAGAAAAAAAAAAGAAAGAAGAAAAAATCAGAGGCAACTCTCTCTTTCGCGAGTGCTCGTGGCAGAACTCTCAGAGCCAAATATTAAAAGTTAAAAGCCGCTTGCTTTTTTTTTTTTTTTTTTTTTTTTTTTAGGACCCAATCAGCAGGTATTGCCAAAGGGGGAATTCTGATGATATGTTCCCTCTGTTGCCTTGTCAGGCAGCTTGAACTCAAACACCAGAATGAGCTAATTTTAAGATGTGTTTTAGTGCTCACTGAGAATTGCTCGGCATTAGCATGCAGCGTGTGTGTGATATATAATGTTGTTTAAAGGAGAGAGGGAGGGTCTGAAGGTTTTTAAATAGACATCGGAACCCCTGTGGATTGCGTAGCTATAACAACCTGTCCGGATTTCACTCCCTGGCTTGAAGCTTCTAAAATGCAGAAATAAATATGTGTGAATTGCTTCAGACCATAATTAAGCCTCTCCAGTCCTTTATGTGCGCCTCTTTGTCATGAATGTAAAATTAGAGGTTTGGAAGTGCTTCTAACAAGCTGAAGGGTTGGCTTAATTTAATAAATCTGGTCATAATAAAAATAATAATAATAATAGCAAAAACATTTTTTATTTAAATTCCCTACAAATAAACAGCTAATATCTTTTTTATATAGTTTAAAATCTGAAAAATATATAAAACCTCAGGATTTCTGTCAGCAGCCTATAGTTTCTGAAATTGTAAAATGTGAAAACGATGCTCTAATTTTTATTATTTTCTTCATCAGCCGATAAATTAGGCGCACCTTGGCGTTTAAAAGCCACTGATTAGCAAAGTTTTCTTTTATTCTCAAAAGGTATTACCTCATCCACTTCTAATGCTACACACTTAAGAATATTACTATCTGTATGATGAGCTGTCAGATTGCCATTCCAACGAAAATATCCGATGAAATTGGCCGCAACACTGACTCTAAAAAGCTGACTGTAGGTTTTTCCCTTCTCAGTGTCAAGTGGCTGTTGATAGCTGATATGAGGTGGACCGGTCTTTTGTCTATAGGCAGTGATGCTTGTCGTTGGAGTTAAAAAAGGAAGAAAGGAAAAAGCTGCCTGTTGTGCAATATCAGAGACTGGTGACGCGATACAGAGGGGGGAACAAATTCACTACTTCAAGTTTTAGTTAAGTTCAGTCACTTCAGTGCTTTAGTCAGCACCTGTCGTTGCTATGAAGATGATCGTAACTACGAGAGTGGTGAGTTCAGTTTCAGTAAACATCCACATGCATTATTATTGCTTTTTTTGGAATTTGGGGGGAATTTGTTCAACATCAGAAAAAATTAAAAAACTGGATTAATGTACGGCAGCTTCAGCTGCAGCAGCATCAACACATGCCCAGCCATGGATTGTTTGATAGCTGTGACTACCCTGTACAGAAAATACGCTTGCACAAAGTGAAGGTTTTATTTGCTTTACTGCACAAATGCATCTGTTCCATGTGCGTCTTGCACACTTTCTTACGGTCTCCACACCGTCATACTTGGTCTGCTGCAAAATAAGTATACCCGGTGCGTTCATTTTGCCATTCCCTGGCCGGTTCAGTGACTCGTTAATTGGCTACACAGTGGCCACTCAGCTTTGCCTGCCATTATTTTCTAATTTCCTCACGTTGCTGGCAAACCGAAGGCGCAGAAGGCTGAAGGCCAGCGCAGAACGAAAAAAACACCTTTAATGGGGTCGAAGACTAGATGTTACCGCCATCTAGTTGACATCGTTGTACATTGCAAGTCAAGCAAAGGATAAGCACATCTTTTCAAATAAAACTAACTTTACAACATCTACTGCAAAACCATTATCACTTAAGAGTTGCAGCTCCTTCCTCCTGGAATCATCTAAAACTGAAGGAGCTAGTCTCACTTGATGAATGTAAGGCAGCTTTAAATGACTTGAATGCAGTTCAAAGTCTGTAAATGTTTTGCTTGAATATGATCATTAGACAATTACTTTTACTAAAGTATTCATTCTTTACTGATACTGAAGTTTATACACTGCGTTTTGGGGTTTGTTTGTTGTTGTCTTTTACTCCTTGCCTGGACTTAACTGGTGTATGGATTTGTATGTATATGTGCTATTTTGTAAGCAACATCTGAATGTACAGCTTTCCTTCTTGGCCAGGGCTCTCTTGAAAACTGATTTTTTTTATCTTAACAGTTTTATTTTCCTGGTTAAAATAAAGGTTAAATAAAAGCAAATTGAAAATTACTAAACAAAACAAAGTAAGGTCATTTTACATGTTATACTGACCAGTCTCCAAGATATCATTTAATGTAAACATGCTGCTCAGATGTATTCATTTTTAGTAACATGCTGAAATATAACATTTAATAACAAAGTTAAAACAGGAATGATGCCGCAGAAGAAGTAGTTTTTTTTATTTATTATGTTTTTGTTATTTTAAGTACCGCATGTACTTGCTTACAACACATGCACTACAGGAGAACTTTCTCATGTTAAGTAAAAATCTCAAACAAGAGCAGAGGATATATTTCACCACAGTAACTAAAGATTGCTATTTCCTTGGACATTAATCAAAATCGGATTATTACTATTATCATGTTGTTATTATGTAGTATTAGTCATAATAGTAGCAGCATTAGTCTACAGTATGTATTCACTAGTCACTTTGTTATGTTCAACCACTCATTAATGCAACTTTGCAAGCAACTCTGTGCATGTAGAGACGGGCAAGTTGACCTGCTGAAGATCAAACCTAGCATCAAAATGGTGAAGAAAGGTGATTTTACTGATTTTGAACATTGCATCGTTGTTGTTGCCAGGCTGTCTGGTTTCAGTATTTCTGAAACTGGTGATCTACTGGGATTTTTCATAAACACAGTTGGCACCAAGACAGCACAGGTAAATCCAGCCTTGTATCAAGGGTTCAGGCTGGTGGTGCAATGGTCTGGAGGATATTTTCTTGGCAAACTTTGAGCCCCTTAGTACAAAGTGAACACAGTTTAAACACCACAGCCTCAAATGACCTCCACAGGCTCCAGATGTCAGTCCAATAAAGCACCTCTGGGAAGTGGTGGAAAATGAAATTCATGTCATGGATGTGCAGCCAACAATCTGTAGCAACTGTGTGATGTCATCACATCAATATAGAACATCTCTGAGGTATGTTTGCAGCACCTTATTGAATCTATGCCATGACGAATTAAAGCAGTTCTTAAAGCAAAACGATGGCAAACTGTTGGATAAATGTTGCGGATCCTACTGTCGTTGTTGCTGCTTTAAATAACTCATCTACTATTACCATAAAGATAAATTGTTTGCTAATAAATAAATAAAACCAAAAACTAAATAAAAATGAGAAATGCACAGTAAAGTCAGTGAGTTTTAGGCAACCACAGAGGTGGAAATCTGGAATTTGGAGCAGTTATGGACTGAGTCAGTAGCTGTCAGCACTGGTACTGAAGCCAAGCCAGTGAATGTTAAATACATGAGAAAAATGTGATGCCTGCTAAGCTTATGGCACCTGAATATACTTTGTAGAAGACTTACCAGGAAGTGGAAATAGCTCCTTAAAGATTTGAGTGCAAACATGTTGTTATTTCTACATATAACTAGTCACACGATCAACATGTCTTCTTATAATAACCGGCTCACTAACAAAATGTAAATGAGCTTGTGTTCAGTTTCTTTTCTCCATCTTTCACAGCTCTACTTCATTCCCTGCAGCCCATCTAGTCAGGTTTTCCCCCGGAGCGAGCAGAAGGACATCAGGGCACCTCTGTGTGCCCATGGTGACCTCACTCTGATGGTGATGACATTTAGAAAAGCACCCTTAGCAGGGAGTTGTGTCTGACAAGTGAGTCTTGTCATTGCTCTGCATCATCGGCCTCCCCCTGTTTGACAAAACACAGCCACGCTAACATCATGCCATAGAAAAATATCTGAACTAATCACATTTTCATTACTTCACTCAATTTTCCACAAATATTTTCCTGGTGTAACATGAAGCTGTTAATGCTAATTCTTACACTAAAGTGTCTACATAAGATGTAACAAATATACAACAAGGATTTAAAGGATTTTAAGGATTTAAAGCAGCTACTGCACTCAACTATGTCTGTGCTACGTGAAAATGCAAAAGCACCACTAGATGTCACCGCTGTAGTGGAATTGTGATCCGTTCTTCTATCACTACTGAGCTTTTAATAGAAAAAATAAATAAATTTGAAGTGTGTATGCACACATTTTGGTTGGGCGAGCACTTTTATATCTCTAAGGAAGGGAGGCTGATGTCAAGCAATATAAAAGAAGATAAAATCAAAGATAAAACTATTCAATAAAGTTAGATTAAAAAAAAACCCCAATTGGTTGGAAATGCAGTAACAGATAACAAATACATGTTAAATGTCAGGAAATAATGAGCTATGTAGCTGCGTCGTTGACATTATTGAATATTTCTATCAAATCAGACTTGATCTGTGGTGGTTCACTTTGATAATGTTTTCTGATTGTTCTGGCGAGCACAGAAGAAAACAAACAAAACAGATGTAAGCTGAGCATTTGGGACGGCCTGCACTGATCTCTTTCATCATCATCTGCGTCCTCATCTGTTCTGCTGTGTTGCAACCACAAATGCTCTTTCCTGTAAATGATCATTAAAAACAATACCACATGTTTGCTGTGTGCTGCCTCAATAAGATGTGACACGCCCCACGAGCTCACACCTGGAAACAACTCATCACTTTCCCTTGTGCTTCTCTGACGATTTCCAGACATGGGAAACAAAGCTAAGGCTCTGCCCCTGCTTTGACTTTATCTTCAGGATGGGCATTACCACAGGCGTTGACGTTTCTATCTGCCCCGCTTGCCTCTTGGCAATACAGGGTGTAAAAAGCCTCCTGATAAGGGAAATCAGGAACTTCAAACTCACGTTGACGTCACATTTGCTGTGTTTAACTACACACCTAAAGCACGTCATTTATTGTAATATGGCATCTTAGCCGATCAGCAGAATGGAGGGCCAAGCAGATGCAACGAAAAGATTAAAGACATTTTTGAAAGGATAAACTAA